GCCTGATTATTCTGGGTGCGATAGGCGTGCTTACCTGTAGCTGCCCTACAGCTCGATTTAAGTAGAGAATACCGACGAAGCGTATCAAGTTGAGTCGAATAATACGAATAGGTGTGCGGGCCTAGCTCGGCTAGCAGACCGAGTTCAGACCTATGAATTCAACAGGCGAACGCGCCTGAATATTCTCAGTGCGATAGGCGCGCTTACCAGCACTGCAGCTGCCATACAGCTCGAGTTAAGTTGAAAATACCGACAGCGCGTATCAAGTTGACTCGAATAATACGAATAGGTTTGCGAACCTAGGGCTAGCAGATCGAGTTCAGACCTATGAATTCGACGACCGCGCCTGATCATTCTGCCTGCGATAGGCGTGCTTACCAGCACTCTGGCTGCCCTACAGCTCGAGTTAAGTCGAAAATACCGACAACGCGTATCAAGTTGACTCGAATAATACGAATAGGTTTGCGGACCTAGCTCAGCTAGCAGACCGAGTTCAGACCTATGGATTCATGAGGTGAATTCAACGCGCCTGATTACTGGGCGCCGGCGGTAAACCGTCAACCTTTGTTACCGCCGGGGGACTCGTAAAGCTTCCTGACAACATGTAATGTCGGAGAAAATTGCAGAGAACAAATGGTTTTTCAGCCCAATTCGAGTATCAGACCGAGTCCGGACCTCTGAATGCAGCAGACAGAGGCGTCTGATGTCTCCGAATCGAGTCCTGTGATTACCCGCCCTGCAGCCCCCCTACAGCCAGAGCTAAGTGCAGAACGCCGACAGTAGCTCTCAAGATGACTGGAAGAATACGAACAGTTTCGTGATTCTAGATCGCGCAGCAGACCGACTTCAGAGCTCTGGATTCGACAGCCGAACGCGCCTGATTATTCTGGGTGCGATAGGCGTGCTTACCTGTAACTGCCCTACAGCTCGAGTTAGTAGGAAATACCGACAAGGCGTATCAAGTTGAGTCGAATAATACGAATAGGTGTGCGGGCCTAGCTCGGCTAGCAGACCGAGTTCAGACCTATGAATTCAACAGGCGAACGCGCCTGAAAATTCTGAGTGCGATAGGCGCGCTTACCAGCACTGCAGCTGCCATACAGCTCGAGTTAAGTAGAAAATACCGACAGCGCGTATCAAGTTGACTCGAATAATACGAATAGCTTTGCGAACCTCGGTCGGCTGGCAGATCGAGTTGAGACCTATGAATTCGACGACCGCGCCTGATCATTCTGCCTGCGATAGGCGTGCTTACCAGCACTGTAGCTGCCCTACAGCTCGAGTTAAGTCGAAAATAGCGACAACGCGTATCAAGTTGACTCGAATAATACGAATAGGTTTGCGGACCTAGCTCAGCTAGCAGACCGAGTTCAGACCTATGGATTCATTAGGCGAAATCAACGCGCCTGATTATTCTGAGTGTGAAAGGTGTGCTTACCAGCACAATAGCTGGCCTGCAGCTCGAGTTAAGTGGAAAATACCGACAACGCATATCAAGTTGACTCGAATAATACGAATAGATTTGCGGACCTAGCTCGGCTTGCAGACCGAGTTCAGACCTATGGATTCAACAGGCGAGCGCGCCTGATGATTCTGCATGCGATGGGTGTGCCCACCAGCACTGTAGCTGCCTTACAGCTCGAGTTAAGTTGAAAATACCGACAACGCGTTCAAGTTGACTCGAATAATACGAATAGGTTTGCGGACCTAGCTCGGCTAGCAGACCGAGTTCAGACCTCTGGGTTCAACAGGCGAACGCGCCTGATCATTCTGCATGCCTTAGCTGTGCTTACCAGCTCTGTAGCTGCCCTAGAGCTCGAGTTATGTTCGAAAAACCGACAGCGCGTATCAAGATGACTCGAAACGGCCGTTCCCGCCAGAGTGCTTTTTGGCCTTTAAAGTTACCCGATCGAGCTGAGATCAAGATGGCGAGCGGGAATAAGATCGAATTTCACGGGAAAAAATACTAGAGCTCTAACGAATGGTCAAATTTTGAGAACAAAATTTTCAACCGAGCAAAAGTTGTCAAAAGTTCAGTCGAGATTTTTCGAGCCAACTAGCTGTGGGGCGCGCCGGATTACTCTTAGCTTCCAGCAATAACTTGCTAAGGGAAGCTCTACGAGTTTTCTGAGTCGGAAAGGGTTTACCAGACACAATAGCTGGCCTGCAGCTCGAGTTAAGTGGAAAATACCGACAAAGCATATCAAGTTGACTCGAATAATACGAATAGGTTTGCGGACCTAGCTCGGCTTGCAGACCGAGTTCAGACCTATGGATTCAACAGGCGAGCGCGCCTGATGATTCTGCATGCGATGGGTGTGCCCACCAGCACTGTAGCTGCCCTACAGCTCAAGTTAAGTTGAAAATACTGACAACTCGTTCAAGTTGACTCGAATAATACGAATAGGTTTGCGGACCTAGCTCGGCTAGCAGACCGAGTTCAGACCTCCGG